TGCAGATAGATAGATAGATAGATATGCATAGATAGATAGATAGATAGATAGATAGATATAGATAGATAGATGAGTACAGCCTAGAATGCATAGATAGATAGATAGATAGATAGATAGATAGATATGTACAGCCTAGAATGCATAGATAGATAGATAGATCGATAGATAGATAGATAGATTCTTGAATACATAGCTATCAATAGATGGGGAGATATCAACTGATTGAGAGATGGGGAAGGAATTAAATGAACAGGTTAAGATAGAATTGAGCAGATTTAGATAGATAGATAGATAGATAGATAGATAGATAGATAGATAGATAGATAGATAGATAGATAGATATTGCGTGATTCTGGAGTCTACCACAGCGCTGTAATAATCCGTTTCGCAGAATATTTGCCCGTGTGTTGAGATCGATCCTAACTAGACGCCCAAATTCTGTAGCCCTATGTCAGGTGAATCTATCTCGAAGCTGAAACACTTGAGTATTGCACAACGGTAATACTGATAAGTTTGGGCGCAGGTAAGAATCACCATTTCGAATGCCGGTGACTTGAAATATCGACGCAACATAATCTTCTGATCGTCTTCACTAACATTACTCTATATCATAATTCTGTAATAGTCTTGGATATCTATAGAAGGAAATGCTCATTACAGACGTTCGATATACCTAAGTTTTCTTCTCATTTTCTTATTTTTAATTTCATGTTGGCGTTTACACACACACACACACATACATATATATATATATATATATATATATATATATATATAAGTAGATACTTATAGTAAAGACTAACTACATTTTGGCGACATTTTAGCACTTCGGAATATACCATAGTTCATTTTGTAAACGGCAGACATTCATATTCACAAACACTATCTGTATATTATATATATATATATATATATATATATATATATATATATAAAGGGCAGAGGTTATAGTAGTTCCAACGAGATATACATATACACATTCGTGCCCCACAAGCACCCACATGTCGGCGTGCGTGCATGCATGTGAGTGGTTTGATTACTGTATTTGGTCACTATATTTTTTACATCTACATTGCAACCAAAAACGTTTGTGGCTTCTCTCTTCTTTTTAATATACATATATATATATAATTCAGACACTCTCTCGCCATATAATTTTTTCTTACACATAAATATATATATATATATATTATGGAAGTGAAAGACTTAGGTTACGTCGGTCACAGGTATGTGGATCTTAGATTCTTTAGGTATGGCTTTTATGAAAGTTGGTGATATGAAAAAGTGTATTTGCTGTGTGTTTATAGATCTTAAAGTGTTTATTAGTAACCTTTAATTCTTACACTCCCACCCCGAGTATACCTCAATAATATATATATATATATATATATATTCTCGTACCACACCATGATAAGACCAGTTTTGAAATAGGGATCATAGTTTAATATCAAAACAATAAATATAATCTCGATTAATATATATATATATATATATATATATATATATATACTGTAAGTTTTTAATCTTTGAAATATTATACGACTATATTTTAAAAGATAAAAAAACTTATTACAATACTTCCAGACTTTTGCAGACGTATTAAAAGCCGAATCTATGAAAAAGATATTGTTTATATATATATATATATATATATATATATATATATATATATATATATATATAGTGCAAACCATCCATACAGTATATAGAGATAGGTTGTATTTTGGCAGGTACGTAAAAATAGGTGTTTGAAAGGTGTGTTACATGTATTACACAAATCATATACTGTCTGTTTCATCACAACTGCTACCATAGTCGCCGTCGTAATTGGGATCGTCGCAGTCGTCGTGGGCATCAAGCTTGACTGTCATCGTCATCGTCGTCCCTTGGTCTCTGGATATATAAAGTGGGTGTGCTTTTCTACCATTGGAGTCAGTTGCTGCCGTGACAAGCAAGAGGAAGACCTGACAGCTCTCCCTACTCCTCCAAAACTCCGTTCTGTCTTTTTTCTTCACTATAACTGCCACCATCACCGGCATTAGCACCACCATCACCAGTCTGATCATTACGACTACAGCTGCTGCTACTACTACCACTTCGCATTCTACTCCCACTTCTCCTCACAATTTCACACGCATCTACACACCCTCTTCCTCTCTCTTTACCTAATCCCTCCTCTCTTTTTCTTTTGTTTTTTTTTGTCTTTTTTGTTTTGTTTAAATTCTTCATTCTTTCTTTTTTTCCTCCCAACTCTGTCATTCAACGCCCCAACTAACTGCTTGACTGTTTGTCTTTTTCCGTGACTCCCTCATATATATATATATATATATATATATATATATATATATATATACACTTGTGTGTGGTATTTTACATCACCTCATCTTTCGATTCCTGTATTTTTTCTTCTTCCTCCTTAATTCTTCGTTTGTTTGTTTTGCTTTCCTTTTTTTTTCTCTTTTTAGTCCCCTCCCTCATTTACACGATTCTTTCTATTATTTTGCCCTCCCACCACCACCCGACCAAATCCCACCTTCCTTTCTCTGTTCCTTACTCTATCTCTATCGTTCGTCAGCTTTACATACAAGCGGGTTGGTTTGGTTGCGTTCATTCTAATCAAACGACGTCGGGCTGGACTGACCGTTCGTAGCTTTCGTTTCGTTCTTTAGACGAGCGAACAACTGCCGAGCTGTACGGACTTAAAAACAATCGCTTCCTCTCCGAATAAGTCGAACATCATAACTCTATTCAATTAATTTGAAACACTTCCAGAGTTACATCGTCTATTCTTTTTCCTTTTTTTTTTATTTCTTTTTCTTTATATTTTTTTTTTCAACTTTAATTTCATTTTTTTTAATTTTAACCCTTTCTTCATATTTTTTTTCTTTGAGAAGTATTTCTTTATTTATTATTTTTCTTTCCATTTGATAGTTTCCTCTTACAGTTTTTCTTCTCCTTTTCTTTTTCCCTCCTGCAATTCTTTTTTTTTTTCTTTTTAGAATCGTTTCCTTGTTTTCTTTATTTAAGAAAAACTGTATCTAAAAAGGAAAACAACTTTTTCCTTCTCTCCGTGAGCTTGGAATATTCTTAAATCTGTCACAAGGGATTAGCCACGTTAAAATTTTGTTAAATCTCGGATTTTTTTTCCCCACTCTTAGCGTTCTTTCTTCTATTACCTGTTTTTCTTTTCTTTTATTTTTTTTTAACCTTTCTCTCGCCACTAAGGAATAAATTCTCCTTTTTCCAATCAAATCTAAACTTTCGATCAACGCTTGTCAAAAACGATGGACAAAAACGCACTGCGGCTTCTGATATAAAAAAAAAACTGAAATAACAGTAATCGAAGAAAACAGATAAAAATAGAAACAAAACCAGACGATTTGTTCCCTCAGAATCCGACAATGACGGCCGGTTAGAGGACCGGCTAAAACTCTTGGTCAGTTTGACCTCCAATATTCTCTTGAAATTTCATCATTGTCTTCTTTACGAAACGCCAGTAGTCGCGCCCTCTTCCTGGTTTCTAAGTCTTTGGAAATCCAGAGAACTGCCCAAAACTGAAATCACGGATTGTATTTTCTTTCTGGCATTTTTTTTTTCCTAAATGACCCAGTCTTGGAGAAAACAGCAACATTAATTCATTGTTAAATGTCCGTTTAAAGAATAATTCAAGGAATATTCTCTTGGATTGTACGGAACACTTATTTGTGACCAAAAAAATCAAAAAGCTCGAAAATGTGGTACCGACTTCCTTGGTAAGTTGACTTTTCTTTGAGACTATTTTTAAAAGTTCTAATCGCATTTCTTCATGCTCTTTGAAGAATCGTGTTTTTCTTTTGTCACTCAGTCTTTGTGGTATTTTCTTGTGATCCTTTTTTTTTAATAGAAATAGTTGTACGTTTTTTTGCTTTTTTTTTTTTAAATATGGAACCAATTTCTCTTCTGTTCTCTTTACAGTGAGCAAGAATTTTAAAGGTTATGTAACTACTCGAATAATTTATACGTTGATGCAAATAAAATCACACTCCACGCCTACCTCTATATCACTCCTCTTTATCAAATTGGTAGTTTTTTTTTATTTTTTAATATGTTTAATTCAGTCCTTAGGAAACTATACTGGTCGATCTATCTGAACCTCATGCCTATCGATATGTCTTTATCGATACTTAGCACGGCGTTTTGTTTTTTTTATTTTACTTATCTTTGTTCTTTCTTTGCCACTAATTGCTTTGTTTCTTTCCATTTCTGGATGCGTCGGCACCTTCTTTACTATTGCGAATAACTTTCCTCTTCTTATATTTCCTCTTTCTCTTTTTCTCTCGAGATATATATATATATATATATGCACAGACGAAAGAATACCTCGTATGCATCCTTGTTCTCCAAAACACTTCAATGATTGATTGAGTTACTTCTTGAAGGATTTAATCTATATTTTTTTATCTATGATTTCGCCTGGCCATCAGCCGTCTTCCGCACACTCTTGCTTACCTCAGTAACCAGTTCTGGATAGAATTACCTCGCAATCTCTTCGTTCATCGATGGCGGTTCTTTTTTTATAAATTGATATTTACTTCTCTCTTTTCTATCGCTTTATTGATTTTTCTTCCGTTTCTGATCATTACAGATCATCTCGATGGATGTCCATACGGACATTTTATCGATAAATATTCTATCATTACCTGAGGTCTTTATTTTCTCTTTTGATTCGTTTTTTTTTTGTTATTTTTTTTTACTGTACCATTCTTTTTTATGATATAGATATATATATACACACACACATACACACACACACACACACATATATATATATATATATATATATGTGTGTCTATATAGGTAATTCATAGTGCTGATTTATTCTTTTCGAATCTTACCTGTTTTATTCTGCACATATCGAGATATTGCAAAATTTGTTCATATGCATCTTATTCTTTTAATCTCTCTCTCATATATATATATATATATATATATATAAAGATTGTTCACGTCGAATTAACTGTTATTTTTTTGTTCATCTCCTTCTATATCTATTTACCTCTGCAAGTGTATCTGTCTCAGTTTGTTTATTTCGAGTTACCTGTCATCTCTTTCTTTCGTTTGGAGTTGTGTATGCACAGACACAATCCCATATATATATATATATATATATATATATATATATCCTATTCCAATCGATAGAAAGAGATGACAGGTAAACAGATATAGAAAGTAGTGAAAAGAATAACAAATTCGACATGAACAGTATTTACTTAAAATGAATTCACACAAAAACGACCTTTCTCGTTTGATCACCGAAGTTACAGAATGTCGTACCCGGTCAGTACTTAAATGATGTGAGGAGAAGACTTTGAAGACCGGGTGCTGTAAGCGAAAACCGGGTCCTACCCCGGTTGGACATTGGACTAGCAACTTCATCATGTAAAAGCTTAATTGCTATGGCAACCGTAGCAGCAACGCTAAGTGTTGTTCAGAGCTGTGGCCCCATGCGCCTCAGTGGAGTCTAAGGAACTAAAGAAGGAGGGAGAGGAGGCGTTTTAATGGATGTTCTAATCCGGTATTATTTATTAATGACTGTGAACGCAATATTTAGTGACTATATATGTATTTGAGAAGATATCCACGTGGTTTTGTTATGTGTTTTTAAATAAGAAAAGTAATGTCAGCCGGCCGAGGGGGAAAAAATGACCTGAACCGAAACTCTGTTACTCTCCTTTTCAATCTACGAAACTGCTTTCTACGTTTGTAGTAATTCTACTCAAACACGAGTACTCACTATATATAACGTTTATGCTAATAAGATGTACATACATGCATAAATACGTAGATGTGGTACAAGGCCGAAGGTATGTGGCACCCAGTGAGAATCGAACTCAATACTCAGTCGTAATTGTTCTAGTGAAATAAGCTTGCTAACCATTACACCGCCTCGAGATATATATATATATATATATATATATATATATATATATATATATATATATATATATATATATATATATATATATATATATATATATATATATATGTGTGTGTGTTTTGAACAATGAAAGATATTAAAAATTAAAGTTTTGAGACACACTGGGTTGTATGTTAATATTTTTGTTTTATTATTTCAATTAGGTTCCTCGACTAGTTTCGGCCAGCATGGCCATCATCAGAAGAAATAATTTTTTTAGGAGAAAAAAACAAATTCGGCTTGTTAGTAGCAATGAACTACAGGAATGAATGTCTGTTTATGAAAAAAAAAAATGAACTTTATTTGTTTTTTTTTTTTTTTTTTTTTTTTTTTTTTTATCGTTAATTTTGGTCGGCCCTTGTGTTGGTCAAACTGTCTCTTTCAAGTTGTTTCTTAAAAAAAAAAAAAAAAAAAGGGCTGGGGAGATTCATAAGCCGCAGAATTCCCTTCTTGGTCATTTTGACAGTTTTATTGGTTGCTGGGAGGGGTATGTGTTATATATATATATGCCTGTTTATTCATATCTTTCTTTGTTCTTATTATCTTTAGCCCCATCCCCAATAATATTTCCATAAAATTTCCAAAGATTGGTCAAAATAACATTTTATAATGAAACGTGAACTAGTAAGTTGTAAGTCGATTAAAATGTTGTTTCTTGAATTTGTAGTAATTGTGAGTTCACTGGGTCGGATAGTACAGACTTAGTTGAAACAAAGCGAGCAATAATTGAACAGTACTAAATAAGAACAAATATCCCTAGCGAGATCGGATCGAGAACAATCTAACCCCGTAGATTAAATAAATGGCTGGGTCCGAAATTCCCGTATGATTAACAGAATCGACACACCTGAAAAAGGCCTGAGAATACAACGTTTGAAATCTTGTGATAATAACAACGAAGATGAGCACATTCGTTTAGATATAAATAATATAAGCAATTCTCAATGCATTTTAAAAATCTGTCAACTTTAAGGGGTCAAAGGATTGATCTCTTGAAAAAAAGATAAAGAAACGCCATTAATTTTGGTAGCATCATCTTTCATTAAATGTTGATTGCTTATTGGAAATTCCCTATTGACTTGGCAGTAGAATTCGCAGTACCAATCAATATATTAAATATTTCTCCGTATCCACGCGACCTTCGATTTTTAGTCGTCTTCTGTGTCTGTGACGGTATCACTGTTTTCAGTGAACGAAAGTTCCAATTCCGCAAGTTCTTTACTCGTTCTAATAATCACAATATCAACTAAAATTTTAAAAGACAAAAATAGGAATAATTATAATCAAGGAGATATTTATCCTTGAAATTTTCGGTTTCCTTAAAATAAAAAAATCTTTAAAAAAATCAGTGACTCAAGGAGTTGAGGTTTTTGCATCTGTTTTTTTTTAAATTTTTGGTCATTCTGTCAGCACGATTGTCTAATACGAAGAATACTCGAATTTGTGTCTAGTTCTTCCAAGACCTTCTTGTGTCCTTTTACCAATCTCACTTTTCGCCTTGCGATTTCGTTTGCATCTAAAACTCTCCTACAAAAAGATGTTTACGTCACGGTTTTCATGATTTTTTTTTCTCGAGTTAAGAGGAGATTTCTGTATATTTTAGACATTTTTTTTTTTTTTAAATCCGTCATTACAAGAAGATTGTCCCAGTACGAACAGTTTCTTTCAAGGAGGGTTCTCTGATTCTTCCAGGATTTGTAGATTTGAACTAAGCATCGTGAAATTTGAATGAAAAAGTTCAAGTATTTCCCCAAGGGCAGCAAATAAAGTTAACGTTAAAAAGAAATTTGGAAAACACAGCTTTTTGTTTTCGTGCTGGGAAGGGGGTGAGATTTTTTTCAATTTCTTTTTAAAAATTCGATATATTTAAATAATTTTCACTTCTTTTCAAATCTGTTTAACATGTACCACCTGGTTGAAACGAAATTTATCTAACTCTATTCTTATCTACACATTTACCTATATCAGCCGGTTCATATCATTTCCCTCCCCCTCTCTCTCTCTCTCTCTCTGAGTCTATATCTATATCCGTGTCAATCTGCTCACAACTATGTATCTGTTTATCCATCTCATTTGGCGCATGTATATCTGTCATTCTCAGACTGTCCATATCTATCTATACTTCCTCAGCTCGTTATCTATCTATCTATCTATCTATCTATCTATCCTTCCTCAATCTGTGATCTAAATCAGTTCATTATCTATCTCATTCGGTGCATATATATCTATCAGTCTCAGTTTACTCTTATTAGTGTCTCACTTTTTTCATATCTCATTATCTATATAGCATTATCTCTCTCCCGGTCTCGTGTATATATATATATATATATGGCTACTCGTATTCGAGGATATCAGTCTACTAGGGCGGCTAATCAATTTCTTATTGCAGACGCTTGCTCAGGCGCATTTGTGTTTATTCAACACTCGCATAGCCAACCTGTGGTTTATACTGCAACTATGCTGAGCAGACCTTAGTTACAGTTTCTGGAAAAGAGCGTGTTATCTAGCGTGATCAACAATTTGAACAGCGCCAGCAAGCTTAAGACCTCAGCCGCGATGACTTCGTGCTAGCACAGCTATCGACGGTTATGTTTTTTGTTTTTTTTGTTTTTTCATGCACTTTCCAAAGGTGCCGCACGCTCGGATCGACCCTCCAGTCCGATAACATTAGGGAGTCTCCTTCTTGACAAATCAACTATGGTGAGATTCGAACCCGGGTTTTATGGTCAGAATGGAACGTTCTAACCACGTGTGTGTGTGTGTGTGTGTATATATATATATATATATATATATATATATATATATATATATTTTTCTTTTTTTAAATAAAAGAAATGAAAAGCCTGATAAGCTCTGTAATGACTTGCGTAGTCAAACTTTGCTTTGCCTAAAAATGTTTGACTCGTATGTCGGATTAATTGGCTGCGAGAATTATCTTTGTATCAATTTCATAAAGACTTAGACCGTATTTTATATTCATAAGTCCTTCAGTTTTATTGACATCCGATGGTTCTGAATTATTCGAATGGTCGCTAAATAGGAAAGCTTCCAATTTAACACGATTTTCAAGGTAATCGGTTTTTTGGGGTTTTTTATAGAAATTATAACGCAATCAAATATGTATATATTTTATCCAGTTAAATGTTTGGAGAATTTTTCTCTATTTGATTTTTTTTTTTTTTTTTTTTTTTTTTTTTTTCTTAACACATAAATCCTTTAATAACTCGGGTGAAACTAGATGACTGCGATGGTGTGTGATTTTTGTTAGCTTAACTAGTAAAGACGTTTCTTTTTCATTTTAATCTGTTTTGACAGGTTTTGATTCAAGCCTGGGATCAAGCTCCTAATTTCTATCCTTTTAATATCATTTTTTTAATATATAATTTTCGCTGCTGCCTGTGTCACACACTTATTGTTAAGCATAACGTACGTTTGTTTGTTTGTTTATTTTTTTTTTGTTTTGTTTTTTTGTTTTTTTTTTACATCTATAAGCATTATTGTTCTCATATTTTCGCACTTGAGGTGCCTGCTGTTTGTTGATGTACATCGAATGAAACCAATTTATTTTCGTTTTTTTTGGGGGGGGGGTCGGAACCTTTTATGGCTCAACATTGCTGTTTTTCTTTCTTTGTTGTTTTCTTTCTTATCCATACGAATTTTGCTATTTGAATACAACCATGGTTCTTTATTCTCGCTATTAATTCTCCAAACTCCAATATTTACAACTTAGCCATTAAAAACTTTGAGACATTTTCTCGTGCTCCAACTATTATCGACATGACAGTTCGTGTTATTTTTTTGCCACTTCTTAATTCCTGTGCAAACATCTTGGTAATTTTGAATTTATCTTCATACTTTCTACCATTTCTTCTTTTCTTTCTTCTTCATTGGATATACACACCAGTAGTTACTGGTGCCTTATACTGGGGACCAAGTGACAGCAAGTTTTTCCTCTGAACAGTAGTACTTCTCTTAGCCGTTTAGCGGTTTTCTGTATTGCTAGCGCCTGGAAAGTCCCGGTTCTTCCCTTGATTTTTCAGTTCCTCCCAAATCTTTCTTGTGTTCTTCGGAACCTTTTATGGCTCAACTGTAACATTGCTGGTTTTTTGCTATTATTATTATTATTATTATTTGTTTGTGTTATGTTTCCTGCTTTGTATCCTGTAGAGCCGGGCCTAAACTATGTTCCTTAAGCATTATTATTATTATTATTATAACTAAAATTTTGGTATATTTATAACTGTTCAGTATTGTGGATTTTTAGAATGTTATAATGTTGTTTGTCATTAATGTGTCCATTTCTGTTGATTTGGGGTGTTTGTAGATTTTATTGTGGGCATAGTTAAAATAAAATATAAGTTACTCTACCCGGGATCGAAAACATAATGTTGGTGCTGCTCATCAAAGTCATGATAAGTGGACTTCTATATATGCATATTAAAAGGGTAACTTAAATAAAAAATATATTAAAAAAAAAAAAAAAATAACCAGTCATTTAACCTTTTTTATTTAAAATTCGAATTCAGCTTACGAACAAGCATTCATTTGTCCATTTTTTTTATTTTATTTTTTTTTTTTCATCTTTTTAATTATTTTTCTCTGCAGATTTATAGGCTATTAATAACCCGAGGAAAAATCATCCCTTCCCTAAATGGTAGGGTTGTCTCTTTTTTAAAGCCTCAGTCATAGCAAAATGATATACAAAATCCGATCCACGTCCACAAATCTGATCAAATTATAAAACATTTTTACGGCCATAGAAATGAATACAATATGGAAACCAGTAATTCAGAGTGTTAGAGAAAAGCAATAACAACAAAATTGCAATATGAGCTCTGGTAAAAAAATAATTTTGAGAAATTAAATTTATAAGACCCCAAAATTCATACGTTAATGTCCTCAAAGAAACGTTGTCCATTGGATAAAAGCGTTGGTTGAATTCACTGACCCAAAGAGTTGTAAGTTCAATACCAAGCCAAAGCAGAGTTGAGTTAAAGGCAATTAACTGATACTAAAACATCCGTTCGAAATTTCAACCACCTGAAGAAGGCCGGAGCTTACAACGGCCGAAACCTGAGTATAACAATAAAGATGAGGACAACTGTCCGAACAATGTAAGATAATGTAATTTATGTAATAATTTCAATACCTCATCTCGGAAATATAGACAGATGTTTTGCCCAACCCATCACAATTCTTTGCTTATTCTTGTCCTATTTCTTTTAGAGTTTAGAAATGATAACGCTTTCTTTATTAAGCATACAGGCTTAATTAGCTTCTCTCTTTTTCTAGAGAAGCATAATTGAAAAAGACATTAAATAAAGGTGAGAGAACGGAAAGAGAAAAAATATTCATAATAATCACATATTGAAGTACTGGTAAACAAGCAATTCTCGCTATATTGTTAGAATTAAGGTGAGTCATATGTAATTCCCATTTTTGGTAATCAATTCTAATTTTAAAAAAATGTATCAGCGTAAATCAACGTTCCTTAAATATATGATAAAAGATGATGAAAAGTGCGTTGCATACGACAATGTTCAGCGCAAAAGGGATTGAGAGAGAGAGATAAACCTCCACATCCGACACCAATAGCTGAGCACTGTGGAAGAAAGCTAATATAGTGCGTGCGGTAAAATCGTCGGGTTATTTTTCCTTTAGATTTTGCAGTGAAGCACTAAATACACATTTGTAAGTACAGCAGCTCCAACGTGACCACAAAAGTTTGTTTGGAAATCGCCCTGCGTCCGTCAAAATGCAAAAGCCGTCGACAAAGGAAACGATTTTTCTAACTCGTTTGCTTTGTTCTACGCCATTCGCCATATTCACCCGATTTCGCAACCAATATTTTTCGGTCTCTCCGCAAAAGGCTTTCATTGGAAAAAACTTTCTCTAATGAAAACTACAGGGTGCTCCGAAAGTCTTGTCACCCGCTACCAAAAAGTAATGAGAACAATCAAAGAACAAGTAATACAGTAATACAAAGCACATTTACTGGATTCAGTTCATGTGTCCATACACTTGCAAGCAGCCTCTCTTTCAAACAGCAGGAGCTCGTGCTCGCCATCTGATGTATTACGGACAAGACTTTCGGACGCCCCGGTAGATTAAAGGGTTTGACGAAAACCTTTTCGCATCAAAACCTGCGGAATTTTACTCCAAAGCCAACGAAGAGCTACCTGGAACGTTTTTGATTTATTAATTTATGGATTCGTTTTTTTACGGCTTATCAACCCTTTGTAGGTTATTTTTAATTTTTTAGATAATAATAATAATTTTAGCGATACAAATTTTAGTAATTAACCCATAGCTGGGGTAAAAGAGATGGATTCATACCTTTCCTAAGGGTATTTGTGTGTAAGTGAATACAACGAATTCAACAGATTGGAACCCTGCTCTCCGATTAACAGCTCCAAGCTATTATCCATTTCACCACCCGCACATCCACGCTTACAGCACCTGGTATTCCCAATCGGTCACCCATCTAGGTACTGACTACGCTCGATGATGCTTAACCGGTGATCGTACGGGATCTAGTGTCAACACCATAATGCCGTAAGCCTGCCTGGTACGCGTCAACAAGTCATGGCAAATAATAGTTACTATATCATTGAATAAAATGAATTTATTCTTTATTTTCTTGAAATAAAATTGAAAACCATAAACGATTTTTTATATGATTCAGTAGTTTTGTCTTCACACTGGTGGTCTTGTGCCAGACTCGGCTAAATTTCGTAAATATCTATACTCGTTCCTATACATTCACCCATAGAAAGTACATATTTTTATATGCATATACATCCTCAAGGAGACATGAACCAGTGGATAAAGATGTTGGTTAGATCCAGTGACTACACCCAAAGAGTTGTGAGTTCAATGCCAGGCCACAGTAGTGGTGAACCAAAAACTTGGAGAGTTGAGTTAAAGGGAAATAACTGAGACACCCGGAAGAGGCATGACGCGTGGAACTAGAACAATCTAATCCGGTGGACGAAATAAAGTGTTCGGTTCGAAATTCCAATCACCTGAAGTAGGCCGAAGCGTGCAACAGCCGAAACATTTTGGAAATTGAAATGAAGATGAGGATAACAGTCCAAATAATGCAAGTAATGCATATACCTATTTATTTGGAGGGCCGCATACTTTTATATAAAAGCCCCGTAACACGTTAGTGTTCCAACCTGCTCGATTTTTAAAATCGGCATTCCATATTCCTGTTTCTTTTATTCTTTTTTTCCTGTACCCGAACACTACCTGGTGATGCCGGTAGGTGATTGCACAGCTTTCTCATCCAACGGTCAGGACCAGTTTTGTGACTTGCGCAGATCTATGTCCGCCTTCATTGCATTTATATGCCGACAGATACACATAAGCTGCCTAAACGAGCAAACGCATGCACATCCGCTTGTTATGTTTAAAAGATCTGTCTGCTCGTTTATCCCATCGATACGGTTTTCGCCTAGATCCCCCTTTCTAAAATCTGACCAAATTATCAGGCTTTAGAATTTTTCCAGGAAGAGCTTATTTGTCGGATTTAAAACCTTTCTGTGTTCTCTAGTATTAGGAATTTCTTTTGCTTTATTTTCTTCGCAGGGTCAGTCATTTTAATCCACACCTTTTTAAACATTTCAGAAGCTGTTTATCATTGTCACAACACTGCTACCTAGCGTTGTTAGTATTGGGGAGCTAACTCTCTTACAGCAAAATGTTACAGAAAATATAGAAATATATACCTCCAAAGAATCCCTAAAAATGAGCATACATGATAATAAAATTATTCTAGACATAAGAAAAATAAAGTTTTATCGTCCATGTCTTTATTATTAAGAGGAAAAATTCAAATGATTTCTTTTATTAAATTATATTTAGAACTTTCGAAATTTTGTTTTTCTTGCATCATCATGTAATCAAATATTAGTATGGGAAATTTTAGCGCTTTTTTTTGTTTTGTTTTTTTCTTCGGTGAAAAATACATTGATTTAGAAATTCTTGTAAAAATTAGGTAATTGTCAGATTTTAATGAAATTTTCAGAGCTTATTCACAAATGAATGAAATTATTTTAGAAAAATGTGCTCATTTAATTTTATGAAATTTCGAGAAATTCAGTTTTGTCGAGTTTTTAATGCCTATATTTGTTATAAGGACAAGTCCTTCGAGAATTTAAATCATCAATTTTTTGTCAAACAGGAACCCCCGGCGACAGAAAATTTGGTCTGAATCGTAAAATAAATGTAGTAAAACTAAGCTGTTATTTAATTAGAAAAGATTTTAAATGTTTTATGAATAAAATATATTTATGGACACTATAGTCTTAAGTAGAAAAAAATATTTTTTGATGAATCATAAATTTTTACAAGATTTTTCATTTAAAAAAATGAATTCCCATAATTTATAAAGTTTTAAATCTTAAAAATTCTGTATTTGTAGGGCTTATTAAAAACTATATTTATTAATCATAAATGGAAAAGCCTCAGTCACCCTTTTAGTATTTAAAAAAGAATTCTGAATTTTTTTGTGTGTATAACGGTGTCGATTTTTGTAAATACGGATGTCCATATTCGACATTATCAGAAAATAAGAGCTGTAGCGATAGTAAATTTAAAATTCGTTAGTAATGTTATAAAGTTTCCTCAACAAGCGTCTTCCTAAATAAGATTATAAAGCCAAAGTATCTAAAATTTACTAAAAAAAATAAATTCGATATTTCCTTAAATTTTAATGTTTACTGGGTAAAAAAGGCGCTCACATTATATTCAAGTAATTCTTACAGATATGTTCCCTGCAGAAAAAAATTCTATGTGGATCGTGATAGCTGTCAAAACCTCATAAAAAAAGAAAAGCCCTCACTTTCGTGTTAAAAAAAATGTTTTTGCGATAATCCAACTTTAGATCGGTTAATCTTTTTTTATTTTTAAAAGATTTTTTTTTTAATAGAGTTAGGTTGTGTTGAGAGAATTGTAAATATGGCTAAAATCAGCAAGATTTAGTGATTTCAAAAAATAAACTCATTCCAAACAATATAACTTTATTTTGAAATACAGCAAAGTATTTTACTTATTATAATCTATTAGCTTGGAATTAGAATTAAAACTAAAGTAAATTCAAGAAAAATTTTCAAAATAAAAATGCATTTTAGACTTTAGATGTCACTTATTTTCTCTTTTGTGAGGAATATACATACATACACACACATTATTATATATATATATATATATATATATATATATATATATAACAGAGTAAGAGTCAACGCGTTTGTGCCTCTTTATGAGTTGAACTGAAACTGTAAACATACAATTCTATATCTATGCCATTAAAATTCTCACTTAGTCCAGTGCATTAACAAGGTAGACATCTTCGTTGACAGATAAATATTTGTTGTGTGAAATAAATGCATTTTTCATCATTAGACTGTGGACTTAGTGATTTACCTGGAGTAGAGACAATACCAGTGAACATTTAAGTTTATCTATTATATGTAATCTCTTCATTCCGGTTGCTATAATGATACAAACACAAAGACTTAAAAATGTTAACTTCTAGAAATGCTTTAGTCGATTGGATTTCTTCGCGAAATACTTTGTTTAACGCATATACATACATACATACCTAAATATTTATATATAGTGTAAAAATAACGAAATGTACATAGGAAGATTGTTAAATATTGAGGATAGTGTATATTGGTGTAAATAGTGTGAACAAAGAAATCAACACTGCATAGTGAATGACTGTTTCAGACCTTAAGCGACCATTGGACAAACTGTCAGTCACCATATAGTATTGATTTCTGTGTCCACAGTGTTAGGTATGTGAGTGTATGCATCGTTATCTCTCATATTATGGTCAGTGAATCTTATACACTTGCGTTAACAGAAAACTACACGTCACATATCTATATCTATATATATATATATATATATATTATAACTGGCATATTATTTGCCAAAAATCGGTTATAAGAATAAAAAGTGCACAATGAAATTTCAAAGGAATAAAAATAAAATACAGAGTAATTTAAGACATTTTTGCATCATACTGTTTTTCAAATAGAATAAAAGAGAAAATTCAATCATTATGTAATGTTCAACTTACACAATTTACAATTGAAAACCAAACCCACAAATATTTTCCGAGAAATTCTCCCTCGCTCCCTAATGTATTTGTTTGTGTGTGTATATATATATATATATATATATATATATATATATATATATAAAATATCTGTGTGTCTGTATTTGAGCAGCAATTCCTCTTTTATACAAGTTTCATAGAAGACTGCTGACAAGGCACTGCTATTAAGCTTTGTGTTAAATTTGTCTAGCATTCTTACATGTAATATCTTTTCTGAACATCGACTGTCCAAATGAATTGTAGATTTGCGCGTTTTTAGTTAATCTATTAGACATTATCATGGATTTTTGTTTATTTTTTGCTTAACTGAATACGCAGATTATATATATATATATATATATATATAATGGTGGGTCAGAAAGGTTGCCCAGATTTCAAAGGTTAAAAAAAAAACAATACATGATCAGAATAGAAAAAACTTTGCTCTCTACTCCCGACTATGGTGATGTATTACCTGAAACAGAAAATAAATGCCATTTTCATAAAATTGATAGGGATACGAATTTTTTTTTTTTTAATTTTATTTTCATATGTTTGTTATTTATTAACCTTTGAAATCGAGGCAAACATTCTGCCCCACCATATATATATATATATATATATATATATATATATATATATATATATATATATATATTGGAGTGTTTTTTAATTTCCGAAGACGATGAGTATGTTTGACAGTGTTCATAGTCGATATTATTCAGAGTTGGATTGTTCTTTTTTTACTATTAATGCTTCCATTACTTTTAACTGTTTTCTGCATGTGGATGAGGCTATTTTGTTGTTGTTTTTTTTTTTTTTCAACATGTATGTTGCGGACAGATTTGTAGGCCACCGTGTGTAATTAAATGCATCCTTACAATGATCATATATATATATATATATATATATATATACATACACTTATTTAAAAATATGGTTCCGTCGCTACACATGAATTACCCTGTTTCAAAAACAGATGCTAAAATCTTCAATTACAGAATTAAATTAAAGTCCCAAGTTCTGTTTCATTTTCAAGCGAATTTTGGAATAAATTACAGTGTAACCCGGATATAAGAGACTTCTCCGGTCCCGACAACTCTCTTACACAGTATTTTGAAATTTACTCAGTTTTATAATCACATACATTCATAATATTAGTTTCTATGGATATGGGGAAAACCAATCATTTTAACAAGGGGCAGTAGGGTTATCTTTTTCACTGACAGCTATTGTATCAATATATTAGTCACTTTCGAAAAAAGGTTAAGTCAAGGGGTGCCTTTTTCAAACGAATGATGATATCCATTCAACGCATGTCGTCTGGTCTTTTTCAACGACAGAAAGCTTTACGGCACTTTGATTTCGCCATTAAATATATATATATATATATATATATATATATATATATATAGTTGTGAAAATACGCA